CAATAGCCGAGTCTTCGTGTTTCTTCTTGGGTGCGCTCACATCGATGCCCGCCGTCAGAGTGTTTGCACTGAACGCCGGTTTAGCCCTTTTGATAGCATTTGTCTTACAAATGGTTGTCTTCGTACCACTGTTTGTGTTGGACACTCGCAGACAACTCGACAATAGGTTCGAACTCTTCTGTTGCTTTCAATTGTCTAAAAGACGTGATTTGGAAGAAGAGGAAACTGTCGGAAAGGGAGCTCTTTATAAGTTCTTTGAGCACATATACGCGCCTTTGCTTATGAAAGATTACATTCGGGTGCCAGTCGTAAGTATCATTTGCAGACTTATCTTGATATTTATTAGTAATGATATTGAATGAATTGAATCCAAAGGTGATTCTATTCATGGGCTGGTTGTGCACATCCATTGCTGTCATTAATAAATTAGATGTGGGTCTCGATCAGGACATATCTATGCCATCAGATTCCTATGTATTGCGCTATTTTGAGGCTCAAACCAAGTCATTAGGAGTGGGCCCTCCTGTCTATTTCGTAGTCAAGTCTGATTACGATTACGCTAACAGACAACAGCTCATCTGCACGAGCGCCGGCTGTTCATCCAATTCATTGGGAGCCATACTAAGCGATGCCTCCAAACATTCCAATGAATGTATATATCGGCCAAGACAACGATTGTTAACCCACCTGCTGATGTACCCAACCCGGTCATAAAGGAGCACAACAGCCCTTTAGCTACCGTTTCTTCCGTTAGGGAAAACGGGTAGTCTAATATCATAGTTTTGCAGGTTTAGTGGTATGTGATGACTTCATAACATTATAATACAACAAAGGTTGTCTTTTGTGCTCAACGTTTGTAACAAGGCCAGAAAAACTACCGCTGTTACTCCGGCTGTATAAGGGGCTATTCAAATTAGCGCTCATAGAGCTTCAAAACCTCTCAGATATCCCGAACCCTTATTGTTCCAAAGGGTATTTAATTTAAATTGTACCAGTACAGTAGTATAAAATAAGTTGATAAATCGTTTATATCACTTAAACTAGTGGTGGACCTGCCTATGGATCAGCTGTTAATTGGCACTGGAATAACAGTACAACTAAGGATATAATTCTCATTAAGGGTTAGTTTCTTATTGATAAATTAGGTTTACTTTCAATTTAATTGATTTGTTTACACATTTGTGCGATAGCTTCGTCTTTCAATACATATCATACAGTGCTAAAGAATTCTCATGATTTCATATCTGCCCTCAAAAACGCCAGAATCTTAGCCGAGAGTTTGACTCAATCCATAAACGCTGATAATAAAGAGGGCGATCAATACGTGGAAGTGTTTCCTTACAGCATATTCTATGTGTTTTACGAACAATACCTGTCCATCTGGAGGGACACAATCATCAATAGAGTTTGACTCAATCCATAAACGCTGATAATAAAGAGGGCGATCAATACGTGGAAGTGTTTCCTTACAGCATATTCTATGTGTTTTACGAACAATACCTGTCCATCTGGAGGGACACAATCATCAATCTGGTCATTACCATTACTGCCATATTTGTGGTCACTTTCATATTCTTAGGATTCGATTTTATATCATCACTGATAATCATAGCTACCATTGCGGCCATTATTATAAACTTAATGGGATTAATGTTTTGGTGGAATATATCTCTAAATGCCGTTTCTCTGGTCAACCTTATTATGGTATAACTCTTTCACTATAACTTTAACCATTTGTCACTTAATTCTATGCTTTTAATGGACAGTCTGTGGGTATATCAGTGGAGTTCTGCTCCCATATAACCCGCGGTTATGTCATGAGTGAGGGCTCGACACGAGTCGAGAGAGCGGAAGAGTCGTTGGCAACTATGGGCTCCTCAGTGCTGTCGGGCATAACATTCACCAAATTCGCGGGAATTGCAGTCCTGGGGTTCGCCTCATCCAAGATATTCCAGATATTCTACTTTCGTATGTATTTGGGAATAGTATTAATCGGTGCCTTACATGGACTGGTATTCCTACCCGTCGTCCTCAGTATAATGGGCTCTCAATTAAGGCACCGAACCTTTGACTCAATTTAATAGATACTGTAATCAATGCCTATATTTATATATTTATCTTATAAACCACTTTAACTATTGTTGCTATTGTTTTGCCATTAAATTAAGATTTTATAGATTATATATATTTTAAATAAAATTAATCAACACTTTTACAAATCCAGGGAAATTTATTGAATGTCCAAAAGGTGTTCACAATTAAGTTATAATAATAAAGAGGAATAATCTTTAGAATTACTTCTTAAGCGCCTCCTCTTCCTTCTGGTACGTCAACAGGAGTTCCGTCTTCTTCTGTTGCTGTCTCTCCTCACGCCTTCTTCGGGCCTCCTTTACCTTCTGTCGACGCGCTTCCGCCAAATCACTGCACATATCATCAAAACATTTAGTCATTCCTCATGTCTGAAGCATATACTGTAGGCATACCTGAGTTGTTTGGATCTCTGTTTCTCAGACTTCTTCTTATGGATGAATTCCATGAGAACTCTCTTATTCTTGAAGACATTGCCCTTAGCCTTAAGGTAGAGGTCGTGATACAGATGTCGGTCGATCTTCTTGTTCTCCCTATACTTCTTCAGTAATCGCCTCAACACTCGCATCCGTCTAATCCACAGCACTTTGACAGGCATTCGCGCGTTTGCGGTACCCTTGCGTTTGCCGGGACCGGTATGTCTACCCTTACGGCGGGCCTCTGTGTTCTTACGCACGCGAGCCCTCGAGTGGACGGCCACTGGTTTGCGGATAATGAGGCCGTCTTTGATAAGTTTACGGATGTGTTGTCTGGAGTTGGCGTTTGCGATCTCATTGCTCTCATTGGGATCCAACCAAACCTTATTGCGGCCGCACTTCAGTACAGCCGACGCCAAACGCTTCTGTAGTCGCAGAGAACTGACATAAAGACAGACATTACTTATTATTTGTCCCTTTAATGCACTTTTGTTTCATTAAAATAGCGTTCATTTAATTGCAATTTAAGACAATCAATGACTCAAATGTTAGGACACGAGACATGAGTTCAATCGATATATCGATAGTCTATTCACTAATGGCTGTAAGCGTAGAGAAAACGTGTTTGAGTAACATTTCCATCAATCGGCTCTTTAACTGACAATTAGCTTATTATCACCACAAAGACATCACAGACAGCACTTCCGTGCATTCAAACAGATATTATCGATAAAATTGATGTCCAAAGTGTGGTAAAAAGTGGTAAAATAAGAGATAATGTTGGGAGCAATACATACCTCATTGTATTGAGTCTACGGTTCACCAGAAAGAGAAATGAGAGGAAACGCTAACAAAACGCATTGCATTTGTGCCACACATTCATCAGTCAATTACGACTACATTCACACACTTGCGCATCATTTGACCCATTATTTCGGTTTAATTCATTTGTACCTTGGTTCATTTGCATAATTAT